GGGCTGCAGCGGGGCTCCCGGGGTAGTGAGGCTCCTCCCGGACCTCCCCGTCGCGGTCTGTCGCGCTGGGGTGCGGAGAGGGATCCTGGGGGGCCCGAGGGGCCTCGGCAGGGGGGGAGGCCGCGGAGGGGCCCCGCGTGCCCGCGCCTTCCTTTCGGGGCAGCACCGGCGGTCGGGTCCTGGCCGGAGGCCGAGCCGGGATCCAGGAGCGGCCTGGGGGCCGCGGGGTGCGCTGCTGGTCTCGGGTCTCCGAGGGGTAGGGGCGTGGGTCCTCCAGGGAATCCCGCTCCTCGGCCTCCGTGACGTGCGTGGACTGAAGGCCCGCCTCCCGGGTGTTCTCGGGGTGAGGCTGGGGCTTCCTGGGCCCGCCGCCGCCGGTGGCCAGGATCCTGTTCTTCAGGTCGAGGAGGGCGTCCTTGGCGCTCCTGCTTGCGGTGGAGGCCGGGGGAGGAGGCGCGCGCTCCGCCGAGGCCGGGGCGCGGGGGGCAAGCGGCGAAGGCCGTGGTCTCCCCCGCGTCCGGGCGTCGTCCCCGCCCTGCCGGTCGTCGGACTTGCTGGTACTGGCTGCAAGAGTTCACAGAGCGAGCGTTACAGAACAAGCACTTACAGGCTGCTCAGGCGACACCACTGCTTCAGCACCGGGGACGTGGCTCCAGGACAGTTTGCCTGAAGGACACGCAGTCTGATTCTGTCCCATCAGATTCCTCCTTCGAGGGGATTCTGAAGTGAGACCTTGAGCGGCCGCTGCCCCTTCACTTCCGTGGGTTCTCGCCTTGGGATTCAGCTCAGCCTTTCTGGAAAATGCTTGTGGGGGGGGGGGGGGGGGGGGGGGGGGGGGGGAAGGGGGGGGGGGGGGGGGGGGGGGGGGGGGGGAGGGAGGGAGACAATTACAGCTCCCTGGAGCAGGCACTGGGGCCTTCGCCTCTTTCTTTCCCCCTAAATGACACTGAAAGACCACCATTGGCAGCGCCTTTCCATTGCCTTCAACACTGCAATGAACTAGTGATCGTTAACGGTATGCAAGAGAATGTGCACAGGTGCTGCTCAGATTCTACTATTTTATGTAAGGAGCCTGAGCGCCTTTGGATCTTGGCATGCTGAAGGGTCCTGAGAATCTTGAACAGTGAATGAAGTCATTTTTTTTTAACAGTAGAAAATCTTAACATCGGAAGTTAAAAAAAAATTAGTAGTTTCTAAATGCATTAGAGCTGTTCTTTTTGTACATGATGGATAGTGCTCTACCATACATCATCTTTAGTAGAGAAAACGAACAGATATTATGCAATGAAAAGTGCATATGCCACTTATTCCTATTTTTGTCTTCATTATCTTTAAATGAAAATTTTATGCCCCACTATAGTTGCAGATATTTATCCTTCTCTATCTGGAACCATATATATAGTTGTTACTAATAGGCATGAAATATATATATATATATACACACATATGCCAATTATTGGGGCACTACACAGTCACATATTCGTTCTAATACGTTTTTACTTATTTCCTCCATGCTTAAAACTCCTTCCATAATAGACACATTTGAAGTTCCAAAATAAGGCTTACAATGAGAAGACTCCTGGTATAGAAAATATTCTATTGAATGTAGCTTGGCTGGAGAGCAGAACTGACAGGTGAAGGAATGCTGTTGGGCGGGGGATAGGGGTAGTCACATAGCACTGGGGGCCCTACGGGAGCCCATTTCATCTCTCCCAGAGATTTTCCCAGCATAAATCTGTTTCTTACTGCAGCCTTGCTGGGACCCTCACAGCACACAGTGGACAGAAAGCTCCCCATCTCTGGCAAAAATGCAGAGAAGCAGGAAAGAAGACAATCATTTCCATAGTTGGTTTTGATGCCAAACAAATGAACTAGACAACTGGAATTCTTCTGAGTAGAGCTGTACTCCAAAATAATGGAATAAAAACTAAAAATTCTTAAATGTTATATACAAGAGGACCAGTAGTTAAAAAAAAACAAGTCCCAGTATATCTGTAAAAATGTTCTCTCCCTATCAAAATAAGCCCCCCCTCCATTAAACCATGATACAAATCATCAGAGAACTAGCATCTTAATAGTCCTGTAGTGATTTTAGTCTTTGGGAAGATCAATTCCTAAAAAGATCACAGAAACATCTTAGTAACCAATATGCAAACTGAGTCCTGTGAAATCATTCACCAAGAAGCTTTAAACTTAAGAGCATGATTCAAAGTCACACAAAACAAACAGCAAATGAAAACAGGTAGGAGACAGCCACAAATGCAGTGCTTACTTGTTGGAATAGCGACAATGAAGGCTTTGGAGTGTGGCCCGGGACCTCTCCTGTTTGTAGCCCGGATTTTGAACAGATAGCGTTCCCCAGGCTGCAGACCATCCACCAGGGCAGAAGTAGTGTGTCCGGGGTAGGTGAGAGACTTTGCTCCAAATGGTTTGAGAGCCGGGGCGTAGGAAAGAATGTATTCTGAAATGATTTGGCAGACGGTTGGAAGGAAGGAATGGGAAACAGTCCCGGGTCCAGCAGACGGACTGGATGGGCAGCATGAGTTAGAACTCACATCACAAAAATTAAACACACTAGCAATGCACGCCAAGTTCACAGCCGAAGCAGGAAGGGGCAGAGGTGAACTCTCTCATTTGGACACCAGACAGGCTTTGAAGGTTATGAACAGGCAATTTGCTTTTTTAAGACGCTGAAGCATATGAAACTCAGGAAAAACATTCACCAAAGAATATGTACACTTTTTTGTATATTCATTTTATTTTAGTTTTAGTTTTTGCACTGGTCCTGGGACTTGAACTTGGGGCCCGGACACTGTCTCTCGGCTCCTCTGGCTCAAGGCTAGTGCTCTACTGCTTGAGCTACAGCTCCATTTCCAGCCTTTTTAGGGGGGGGGGGGGGGGAGTGGTTAATTGGAGATAAGAGTCTCACAGACTTTCCTGCCCAAGACTGGCTTCAAATTGAGGTCCTTAGATCCCAGCCTCATGATGTATATTCATTTATTAGCATGCTATGATTATGTTGACAAATCTTCAATAATACCAAAAAAAGTGACATCTAAGAACTGATTCTAAATAAACACTCACATCTTCAAGAGCTTCAGTTTGTCTAGTTCAATTACTTCTATTAGCAAGTTGAACCAGGAGAAAATATTTTTTGAAATATAAATTCTTCATTTTGTAGGAATTATAAAAAAATTCTTACTCCACATTGCTGATAAGGATGTTTCACAAAATTGTGTATGTGTGTGTGTGTGTTTGTGTGTGAAGGCCTTATGTTCTCATTTGTTTTTTGTTTTGTTGGGGTTTTGTTTTGTTTTGTTTTTTGCTTAAAAGCTGTGTTCTACCACTTGAGCCACACCTTCACTTTTTTGCTAGTTAACTGGAGATAGAGCCTCATAGACTACTTGCCTGAGCTGGCTTAAAACCATGATCCTCATATTTCAGCTCCTCAGTAGCTAGGATTATAGGCATGAGTCACCAGCACCTGATACTCAACAGAATTTGTAAAGTTGCAAAGCAATATATTTATTCGATCTCCAAGGTTTCCACGTTTAATTAGCCCTACAGATAAGTATATTAAGGCCTTGAACTTCAAAAACCATGGAATTCAATCCAAGGAACTAAAATACCTCTTTGATTGCATAGAAATACTGTAACACAGTCATATTTTAGAGTATGATTTTTAACCCTCAACTATAAACTATCCTTTTTTTCCTCAGTCAACCCAAGATTTGCAAAATTTATTAACTCAATAAGAGAACAACCTAACTAAGAAAATAATCACAGAGAGTCACAGAGAAATCAGCCAATTCTAAGGAAGATGAGGCTCTTTTATTTTCCCTAACTTCCAATCTTTCAAAAGAACATTAATTTTGAAACTTTCCAACAAAATGTTTTTACAGCATTTATCCACAAAACACAGCATTCTTTTCTCATTGAAAATGAGTAAGCTAGTCATTTGTGGTGGTCAAAGTAAGAACTAAGAGAACCCACTCTCTGAAAGTTTGTAATTCTGATTTTTTAAGAGATTCCTTCATCTGGAAAAAGTATTAAACCATGTAAAGTATATATTCTTCTGCTATGTTTGATACTTCTTGTGTAGAAAATGCCCCCAATGAATTATAAATTTCAGCCCCACTACTACACCTTTGTGAAAACCAAGCAGAGATAGGATACATGAATTTTCATGTATGGAAACTCAATTTGCTGGGTGTGGTGACTTATGCCTGTAATCTCTGCTAGTTGGGAGGTGGAGATCACTGAGGTTCAAGGCCAGCCCAGGTAAAGCATTAGTGAAAACCCTCTTAACCAAACAAGTTGGGATGTGATGGTATACACCTGTAATCCAGGCTGTATAAGAGAAATGGGTAGGAAAATTGAAGTTTGAAGCTAGTTCTATGTAAAAGTGAGACTCTATCTGAAAAGTAATTAAAAGTCAAAAGGGCTTAGGGAATGACTCAAGTGGTAGAGCACTTGCTTAGTAAGCACAGTGACTTCGTTCAAACCCCAGTAGTTCCAAAAATATTTTTTAATACTTAGTAGCTATCATTATTTCTAGAAATATTTACTTGGTGATTAGGGGCCTCTTTGCAAAGAGCTATAAATATAAACTAAGATGCAGGCAAGAAGAAGGCCAAATCAGTAGTAGGTAATAAATTTACTAGAGAATAATAACTGTCTTTTTTGAAACTAAAGCTATCATCAGCCAAAAAAAGTCTTTATTCCATTTACAGAGGCTTTATGGCCTCAGTGCTGGACACAGAAGGAACCAATGCGCAGACTATCATAACAACCATTATTTAAAAGGGCCAACTAAGTATTTCTTCTCCTCCTCGGTGTCTGACTTGTTCCAGTGGGATGAGGAGTAAGCAAGAGGAGCAGTGTCACCTATTCTGAGAAAACTAGGAAATGACAAAATATCTACTTCCTCACCTTCTACTGTGCTCTGAAAAGACCCCCTAATGGCAGCAAAGAGAACTCAGAGTTAAATGCAAAAACAAAAAAAAGTTCATTGATATTTCCAATTAAGAATTTTTTCAAAGGAGACTGGCAGTAATATTCTAGCTTTCTTTAAGCTTATATAAACTTTTCTGGTTGTCTCTCAGTCCCTAGTAACCATAAAGGATATTCCTTCTTCATTACTTTCCTACCCCAAGAGTGTTTTTGTCTAGGCATGATCTGATTCCTTATGATGTCCTCAGACTCCTGAAAGCTATTTAAATCCTTTTACATTGCAGCAAAATTATTTCTGGGTTTATTTAATATTCTCAATAGACTATACTTTAACTAGTTGTGAATATGTTATCCTATTTTTATTCTTTGAAAGCTCTTATACTCTTTAATACTTCAGTGTTATGCTTTCTTCAACCTCAGTAAATAAATACAGATGATAAACAGAAAATAAATCCATTTTCTGGAAATTATTACTTGAGTGTTTCAAAGCCATTAAAAGTATTTATGGTCTCATTAAAGGTATTTATGGCCCCGTGGGGTTCCCGCTGATTCCTAGACTCTCAGTTTTCTTGGCACACTGAAAAGCCCAGAGCATGAAACTAGGATGGATCGAGGCATAGTTATACCACGTCATTCAGCGCATCCCTGATTGCAGGAATAATCACGGATAATCGCCTTGGAGACCACCTACATGCCAGACAATGAAAGCCCTGCCTGAAAGGCCCTCAGCCCTACCCAGCACGTCCTCTACTTCCTCCCCAGACACCAGAGCTGGGAACAGAGCAGGATCATCATAGTGGGTACCACTTAGGGTTCAAGGAAGAGAGGGCCTACCTTTCACTCTGCCCTCTGTCTCAGGCAGTGGGTCCCAGGACGCCGTGACCACTGTAGGCTTGCCACTGACTGGCCAGACGTTCAAGTTTTCAGGAGCTGTGGTGGGAGCTGCAAGGTGACAAAGAATGGACCAGTTTACAACACCCTCATGGTCAGCCTGGGTGGAACAGGCATGCAGGCCGAGTGCGTGCACTGATCACTGGAAAGCCCATGTCTTCATTGGATGGCATGTGAGAGGAAATTTTGCACTTGCTCTTTGAGGAATAGGGTGATGCATGCCACTTGTGCCAGTTTAGGCAGGGAATCTAGACATAGCTAGGGAAAGGCTTTTAGGAATTCAGGATTCCCCCTCATAACTAAACACTGAAAATATATAAAGATTATAAAAAAGAAACCCAGGTGCAACTCCTTTTTACTACAACTTTTAAAGAAATGATGTAAAAGAAATCAGAGCCTTGGCTACAAAGGAAAAATCTTCCCCAGAGTCAAGTAGAACTTCAGCCTCAGGAAAGAAATAGATGGCGTCAGGCTGGAGACCCATGCATCCCCACCGGGATCCCCACACAGGACGGAGACTTGCATGCCTGCACACTGGGGCCTAATGGCTCCACAGGTCAGAACCACAAGCTAGGGAATGTCCAGCAGTAGGAAAGACAAGATTCCCTAACTCCTCTGCAACTCCTCTGCACCTGGGGAATGGGGAGGAGCAGAGAGAGCTGGAAGATTCTGTGGTTCTAGGAAAACCCAAGGAAAAAGTTCACGAAGATCCTATCTTGACCAGTAAAACACTCGGCATGGTAATAGATTTTTGTATCTCTAGCTACATGAGAGGTTTAAACAACAACAACAACAAAAAGGATCACAGGACCATTGTACCAGACCAACTAGGGCAAAAACTTGAGACTATTCAAAAACATTACTAAAATAAGAAAGAACTGGGGTATGGCTCAAAGTATTGAGAGCCTCCTTGGCAAGTTGAAGGTTTAAGTCTCAGTACTGCCAGGAAAAAAAAAGACATACTAAGAAATATTATCAAAATTCAGGTTTCATGTGATTTAAGCACTTATGCTAGCCTTGGTCACTACTGGCTTCTTAATTGGTTTTAAATCGTATTACAGGAGTAATTCCCAGAATGGAAAACCAAAAGTGAGTTCAAATACAGACCAGATTCTGGCGTTCTTTGAAAGACGGAGGTGCTCCACTTGCCGTCTCTTTCCCCCTGTGAAATACGGACTGCAAACTCATACACGGTGTCTGGAATCAGGTTTTCTACCAACACGCGTCGGTGGGCGATTTGCTTGTAGTCCCACCTGGCTGACTCCCCCTTTTCTCGATAGCGCACAGTGTACTGTCTACAAGAAACACAACACAGTATACAGCCCGCTGACAAATCCTCTGCAGGAGAACCCATGGCCCTGCTGCTGTCCTGCCCTGAAGTGACAGCTTCTGCAGGAAGCAGCCAGAGCAAAGAGGCACAAAGCCTAAGCTTGGATGACATTACCGACTCAGACTGCTTACATTCCAGTGTCAAAAATAACCCAGGAAATACGAAGCATTGAGGCGTTTAACAGCAAAAAAAAATCTCATCATTGGAAAGACTGAGCACAGATCACAAAAGGAATAAGCAAATTAGGAATGAATTTTTATGAGGCAATAGCTCATATATCCTATATGTGTGTGTATATGTGTGTATATGTATGTGTCTGTGTCTGTGTGTCTGTCTGTCTTGCAGGTTTGCAGGGGGCTGTGGAAGTAACAATAGTAAGGACCAAAATGGAAGTAATGGTATCCTAGCTTCCCAAAAAGGATTAAATTCAGAAAAAGCAGGCATGATTTCCATAAACTCAGGAGGAAAAGAAGCATGTGGTTTTGAGTAGATTCAAGACTATGAAATGGAGTAAAATATTTGTAACAAATAGAACAGGGCAGAGGATATAATAAAGGGGCCCAGGGTGTGACTTCCAGGGAGAGAAACTGAGTGCAACCAAACATGGTAATACCCAGAACCCCAGAGAGCGGACATCCGCAATGCTTTAAGAGTGGCAAATGCTGTTTACTAGATTCTTCTTCAATGAACTTTTTTTCTCACAGCCTCTTTGCAATAGGAAGTATTTGGTGCATTAAAAATGTGCTACTTATTATATTTCATAAGACAAGAGAAGACTTCAGTTGAAGACCTGGCACAGCAATTAACAGTGGAGTTCCAAGAAAACGCAAGCCTTTGTTGGTTCTCATCAAGATGTCGGAAACCAAGCCCCAGTGGTAATCTGGAACACTTTGGGCTGGTGAAAGCTATATGGCTAGAGGATCACTGTGATTCTTCTGAGGTCTTTCAAAGATGAAGAAGTAGTGAAGGAAATTATGTGTATAATATGATGTGCAATATGTAGACATACAAACACGTATACTTATACATATACATAGTCTAAGCATGGGAGTCCACTAATTTCAGATTCCCCTTTCCAGGTAGCAGATAGACTCAGTTTCAGTAGTCCAACACATTTTGGCCCTCCTTGGGTTATATAAAGTATTTGCTCCTTGATTAGACATGGGAACTTTTGATAGACATATTTACCAGTAGCCTTTTAGCAAAAAAATTAGTTTAATCAGCCAGGCACCAGTAACCTGCCTGTAATCCTTGCATCTCAAGGCTGAGATCTGAGACTCAAAGCAAACAAACACAAGAGATTTAGCTCCAATTAGCCAGTAATAAGTCAAAAGTAGAGGTGGGGCTCAAGTGGTAAAATGCCAGCCTTGAATGAAAAAGCTAAACAAGAGTGAGAGACCCTAAAATCAAGCCTCAAGACTAGTACACACACACACTTACACACTAACATATACACATATATACACACAATAGCATACATACACTAGCATACACATATACATTAGCATGCACACATGCATTAGCAAACAAACATACACAAATTCATTTAACCTTATGATTATTTTGTCTTTGTTTTTGCAAATGAATATAAAAGCTAGACTAGCATGAGGTTGCATTCTAAGAGAAAATAAGGTGTATTTTCTAGATATGTGCTAGACATGAGCTAGATATGGGCTAGACATAATGTTTGGCAAATGTCTGGGTGTGAGGCATTGGACAAATGTCCACCATTCTACATAAAATTCCAGCCTGCTGCTGTCTTTCAGTAAGACACTTCCCAAAGTACGTGCCACACCAAAACGGGACACCAATGAGACAAAATTAAATCACAAGCAGGGCAAGGAAGAGACAGAATCCACAAAATTTCCAGGCCCAGGGTAAACCAGGTAAGTGGGATGTGAGGTCTTAGTGTGTGCACCATCAGTTTGCAGGAACTAGTGTGTCACAGGACAGCATGGGCACCATTCGGCTATAGAAGGTCCAGCAGTCAAATAAGGAATAGAATCATTACATACACATTACTCCTAGGCCAGAAAAGCCCATGTCTCACACACAAGGATGAAGGAATGAACCAAAGTACCTGGATGCAGCAGCTTTCTTCTGCTTTTCCAAAATTGGATCCACCCAGGCCACCAGCACAGACTGAGAGGACATAACACGTACAGTGATGTCTTTGGGTACATCCAGTTCATCCTCTTCTGAAATGACATCGGAAGAACTGAGTCTCTAATGACAGGCTTTGCCCTGACTTCCTCTGGCTTTCTGAGCCTGTAATTCACCCTGTGTCATGTTTAGATTGTTTGTACTTAAGGTGAGTATAATGAAGTAAATAGAAAGCTGAGCAATTATTTGATTGGTCAGTATAGAAAACCAGACTCTCCTGTTCTTAAGCCCAACCTAAGGAATGGCAGTTCACCACTTGACCCAATCGACATATAGACCAGCGCAAGGAAGGTGCTGTTCTGGGGTATAAGCAACTCAGGGTTTGCTCAACAGACACTGTAAGGTTCTGAGAAACAATAAACATTTCATGGAAAGCAAATGTTTAGAGGAGTCTATGAGACTCTTATTTCCAAGTAACTACCAGAAAAAAACAGAAGTGGAGTTGTGGCTCAAGTGTCAGAACGTAGTCTTGAGCACAAAAGCTCAGGGACAGTGCCCAGACCCTGAGTTCAAGCGCCATAACCAACAAAAAGAAAAAAAAATAGTGTAGTGCCTCCTTTTCCCTCTTGTGGCAGAGCTACCACACAGTGAAGCCACCTCAAATACAGAGCGAAATCAATTCCATCACAAGAACGCTGCAGCCTCGGAGTATGCAAGAAAGAAGCGTATACCCAGCATGTGGCCAGCTCTGCCCTCTTGCCCTCGCCATCCCCCATGGACTGGTGTGGTTTTCCACTGCCAGCAGCATGAGGAAGCAGCAGGGAGCTCATAGCACCGCATGGCCTCCCAAAGTGCATCCTGGGAAACGTACCTGAAATCTTGCGTTTCGTGAGGGCAGCCCTATAGACCGGCTGGCTCTGCCCCTGGGAGTTCATGGACTGCAGGGAGACCACATACACCGACTCTGAGGCTGTGGACCAAAGAAGGCATGAAAGCATCTCTCCAAGCCCCTTAGACAACTAGAGAGCTGTCCAAGTACTGCAGGAACTAAACTCAGAAAGAACACTACTTGGTTCCACGTTTACCTAGGTAATTCCTGGGGAGAAATCAGTTTCTTATTTTTCAACATCAGAGAAATAAAGAATGCTTAAAAAGTGTACTTAACCAATTTCCTTTTACTTCCTACAAAGAAAAGAGGGAGGTTAATGTGATTCTATCTGCCATAAAAACGAAGGGAGGAAAGGAAAGGAGCCCTGGCACCCGTCAGCAATTTACAACGTCTTTGTAATCTTCTCAGATGCTGTGTCCGTCACAATGCACATCCTCGAAATGGAGTCTCTGCAGCTTTGCTAAGAGAGCCTGGGAGAGTTACCCAGATTCATCTTTTGGTTAGTTACTCCTCCCTCCCCCTCAGAGATAGATCCTACTACTCTCCAATTTAATCAAAATTGCATTTGGAAAAAACATTACAATACTAGACCAGAACTTGTTCCCTTTCCCTTAAGTACTGTGGAACTGTTAGTCTGAGGCTCAGGTGACACCCTGACGGAGTCAGAATCTGAGACATTGTTGAGAGGCGTGAAGAGTAGGCTATGGGGCCTAGTTGGAGAAGGGAGGTCACTGGGAGCCTCTCTCGGGTTTCTATCTTGTTCTGCCCCTTCCTATCAGCCCTCTTTCCTGTCCACCAGGATGTGAGCTGGTTCTCCAGGCCTACACCACCATGCCTTCCCCGCATGAGGGACTAAACCGGAAAGCCCTCTGAAACGGTAAGCCAAAACCAACCTGTCTTCCTTTAAGTCGGCTAAGATGGAGACCCACCCAATGAAAACATTCATTTTGAAAAAAAAATGCCCTCCTGAAACATCAGGAATGCAAAAATAGGGCTTCTTTTCTCCTGCTGCAGAATTTGGCCTGCCTCACCAACACAGAGCCAATCCACATGAGAGAGGCAGCTCCGGAACGAAGGGCTGATGCGTTTCCCAATGACTCTGCAGCTTCAGGGCACTGGGTCTCTAAGAGTAGGTCTTGCTGCTAATACCGACACCAAGCTTCACACGGCATGGACTGCCCAGATGTCTCCTCTCACTTCCTATGGCTTAGCAACAGAGACATGGCTGGTCTTTCTCCTGAAGGAAGTCTAGAATCTGTACTTGAAATGACCTTGAGTCTGCCTGGCTTGGAGATGCCTTATATCCTCCTCTCCACAGGGGAAATGTGGAGACCAGGTTGTCATGTGGCTGACCCGTCACAGGTACATCTAACTGCCCGCAGTGCTAGTCCAGATGCTGGCAGCTGCCAGAACACCAGCAATGCAGCAGGCACCTCTAGCTGCTGCAAGAAGATTGCTCTAGTTTCTGTCCATCTCCACCAGGCCAAATCCAGGCTGGTCAGCACTTGCAGTGCAGCTCAGAGAAGCAGCCTTGGGAATCCCGAGGACTGTGGAGATGCTTATCCAGATTCCAGAATAAAACACTAAGCAACAAGCACCGCGATGCCTTCCTCATGGTTACCCCACTTCCTCACAGGCCAATGGCTGTCGGTCCTCCTTTCCAGCCCCAGACTTCACATCACTGACAGAAGGTGAGCACCACCTCCAGCCCCCATACCACCACAGTGGAGGAAGCTGAGAGATACCAGAGCCCATGTGAGTAAACACACTGCCAGGTGTTACTGAGTCTTCCAAGAAGGCCCAATAAACCAGAGCCGCTCCCTTGCCTGTCTACTGAATGACAGAAGATACCAGCCTAAATATTTATTACTTGTAAAAAGCAAGATGGCGGACACGCCTCAGGATGAGACAGCTTTGCTGGTCCTGGCTGCCCTGAACCCCTGGCTCTCTGCAGCCAGGCTTCCTCCAGGAGAAGGCCATGAGAAGTGACCCAGCCTTGCTTACCCAACCTCTGAATTCACCAAGTAGATAGAGGAAAGGAAAGTGGGGCAAACCATGACCTTGTTTCCAGACACAGGGAAGCACCAGCCTGAGAGGTAGGCGGTGCTCTCTCAGAATGTGGCCTGTGTCCCCATTTAGGCCTGTCAATAAATACAGACATCCTAGACTGGACTATGCGCATAATGTCTCCAGGTCTCAGCAAATGTTCTCATTGGCATTCCATGTAAAAGTCTTCTTTTTTCCAGGCAGGGGCCCAGGAAGGGAGGAAGGAAGGCCTGCTTTGTAGCTTCACTCAGCAGCCACAATGCTTTATCTCCATGGGATTCAAGGTTCAGGGCCCCGGAATTCAAAGACAAAGCTTCAAACAACACAACAATGAAAGGAAAGCCAAGACAGTAAAACACTAGTCCCCACTTGTATCTGGAAAACATGATCTGACTTAGAAATCTGACAGCAACTCAGAAAGCAGCTTTGACCTGTCACTAACTACAACTTAAAGTGATGGAGGCTCTGACAGAGACAAGAACAAAAGAGTATCATCTTGAATCATTGTCATCTCTGGAAAATGAATATTCCATCTTAAGATAGTGTTCTAGCACCAGTGAGCTCTAGATACCAAAATGATCACAGAGTTCAGCAAAGAACTGTATATCAAATAATAATAAACTCACCTAGCTTTTTAATCTCGTGTGTCCGCTCATCTCTGGTGAGTGGAACGTAATTCATCTTCCGGCCACTTTCTCCATAGCCCAGAAGAAACCCTCGTGACCTGCGTGGACTCTTGGCTCCAGACAGGCGGGGTGCCTTCCACGCCACGGACAGCTTGTCGTCGGAAGACCGGACTCGCATGCGCAAGGGCTTGTTGGGCACTTCCTTTTCTTAAAGAGGACATGACACAGAAGCCATCAAACAGTACACAGAGTGGAGGTTAGCCCTCTTGTACACAAAGCCCATGCAAACATTGAGCCTCAACAATTAGCTGCTGGGCTTCAGCATCCATTCTCGGTAACCAGTTCCAGTAGGCTCATTTCCCCTGCAGGATTATCTTCCCCATTTTATAACCAATAGGTCTCAAGAACTTAAAATGAAAACATACCATGTGTTGAGGCTGCCAGACCAAAATCTTGGATGCTTCGCGATGTCTCTTTTCATCTATTTCCTTTTGCCCCTCTCCCCACCCAATATGTAGGCCCAAACTATATATTCTCTGGCAACAGCTAAATGTCAAGACAAAAATACAGAGCCCCATTATGGGCTAATTTTGATCCCTCCTCAAAAGGGCTTTATCACTGCAGTGTTGGAAACACAGGCTCACCTTGCCTTTGCACTAAACTGCTAAGAGCTTGGTACTAACTGACTGCTGTGTGGGGTCTGAGCTTCTCTTCCATGTGCAAGTCCTGCCTCTCCTTCAGTCAAACCTTGGCTCTAGCATACCAAGATGCTGTCTTCAGTATTTCTTATTTTCTTCTTGGTGAATCAACAAGCTATAAGAAATCCTCTTGCAGACTGATCTTGGGAAATGCATCTGTTGTTAGATTTCTCGTAGCAGTGCGCTCTGGTGGTCATTGCCTAGTGTTTACAGATCTAAATTAGCATCAAGGAAGAGCTGGAAACAACTATTACCACCTTGCCTTTACAATCTAGCCCTCATCTGAGGAGGCCACTGGATGAATGACTATCTCCAGTCATGTAAGCCTTCTGCTTCCTTTACTATGTACATTAACTCCATCCTCATTTCTGACTAATTTTATCAGACTAGAAAATTTTTAGCTAAGCTAAATAAGACCTAAAAACAAAAATGAGTATCACAAGTGAGTGTGAACCTCGGTAACATGTAAATAATTAGCCATTGCAGTTGATTTACCTGAAGCGTCCGACACCTAGTCCCCATGTCATAGATGTAACCAAAGAAATATCCTTTCGTGGGTCAGCGGGAGTTTTCCCTTCTGTTATTGGGCACCTCATTCCTAACTACTACTGGGGGAGTAGTAGCTGAGCTTCAATAGTTATTTTCCCTAATACACAAGATGGTGATTGTTTGAAAGTTTTTGTGTGTGACACACTGGAATAGTTCAACAAAATGAAATACACACAAGCTCCAGCGAGTCTAGAAAATGAACTGCTGCACAGAGATGGCGCGCTCTGCCCACAGCTCTGCGTCATTTCCGTGTCCTTTCCAGGCAAGCATCTGAAAGGGGAGTGTACCCAGGGCTCTCTCACTGCCAGCCTGGAGGATGATCTGATGGCTGCCCTAGGTGCTCGCCAGGAAACTGCAGAATCAAAATGGTGATGCACCAAAAGACCTTGCATGCCGCCCCTCTCCCCTGCGGAGATGAGATCACTGAGGGGGAAGAAGTGAATTCCAAGGGCGAGGAACTTTGTCACAGATGGCTGAGGTGCCTCCCCCGGACTCTGTCCTGATACACACTAGGTCCTGCCCAGTGGCAGGACAGAGCTGCCCCAAGGGACTGCACAGCTCCCACACCCTTGGGCACCAGCTTGTGTCCAGCCACTCCCCCTGGACCTTCAGGATGCTTCCAGGCCACTGAACAGCTGCAGGGAAGAGAGTCACGCTTCCTCTGACAGCTCAGTATCAAGCCTTTTCTAGATCGAACTGGCTGTTCACAATGACGATTCGTCTAGTTGCCCTTCCAGCAAGCAGCCCCACGACAAGGAGGAAAGGGGTCCATCACTCAGAAGTGAAGCAGGAACCTGAATGCAACCATTCTGCTTCCCAATGTGCACCTTCATAACAATTCCCCTTCCATTTAAACCGACCCCTCTCACCAGCCTCCCGAGACCCTGCGATGTGGGTCTGGACATGCTTCCTGCAGAGGGCAAACTCTGGCCTATCCAGCAGGCACTAAACACAATGAGCCAGTTGGTTTCCTCAGCAGGCAGAAAATGGACAAGAGGAGGACTCTTCTCAAAGGCTGCTCCTGTGACCACCTGGAATTCACTGTGTGGGTGAAGCCACAGAGCCAAGCGAGAGTGAAACCCGTCAAACACAATCATCGATCTCTCTTGCAGATCTTTGGATTTAGAAAGGCCAACCACATTTTTCCTTTCTTCAAAATTCTGAGTAATACACACCATCAGGCATCTTTTTTAGATAATCTTTTATGATCCCCTTTCAGCTGATGTTCACTTAGGCAAACTCTCCAGATGGTTCAAATCCATTTGCAATTAAACCCTGGAAGTGTTTTCTCAAAGCTGTATGTGACCGCCTCACCAAAGCCTTCTAAATTTTTCTCATAAATCTCTGTAGGTCTTTTATCTTGAAAACAGGAAGTCACAACTGCCAAGAACAATCAAGCTCCCATCCACCAGTGCTGAGTGTATTGCAAACTTGGCAGAACACATTGCTCTGATAGTTCTTGGTGCAACAGAACCAGGTAAGGCATACTTAGAGCTGGTGGGGAACAGAAGATCTGCAGCATCTATTACACATCATCTACCTGGCAGGGTAGCAGGTAAAGCAATTGCCACCCGATTGAAGTAGACCAGAAAGCCATTCAGGCTGAGGGGGATGTTTCTTCTGATTCACCAGCCTCACAAATTATCAAACATTCGGATGGAATCAAAACATATAGAATCAAACATTCTATACGGAATCAAAAATCTATTCTTTATGCAAAAAAAAATTCAACATGTTGCTTCACCTCTTTCTAATTCTGTTAGTTAAATGTGAACAATTTTAAGTTGAGCTGATTCAGAATCTAAATTCAGAGTCTATATCCAATCTATTATGCAGTGTTGTCTTATCTCATTCTCCATGAACCTCAGTTTTGTCTGGACAATAGTATATAACACATCAGGTTTGAGAATATAATCCAGGCAAAGTATCTAGTGTCACTAGTGTTTATGGAAGTCACAGTTTAGATCCTAAGGATCCCCCAAAAGTCCATATGGCAAAGGATTGGTCCCTGGTGTGGTATTACTGATAGGTATAGAAGCTGTAAGGAGTGGAACCTAGAGGAGGCTGATAGGACACTTAAAGTCTCACCAATAAAAGGGAGAGTGACACCACAGCCTCTTTTATTCCCTGGGTGACCTAGCCATGAAGCAAGAAGTTTTACTCTGCCACGGGTCTAAAGTAACAGGGCCAACTCATCATGGAATGCTACCTCTCTAGCTGCGATCCAAAATATACCTTTTTCCTTCATAACCTCATTATCTGGTATTTGTTCATGGTGGGAAGCTAACACAGCGGTCATGACAAAAACGGAATCCCATCTCAAGCCCCATGACCAACCAAGAATAATAATAATAATAATGGACTCCCTCTTTTTTTATATATCTCTCACCCAAGTGAGAAGCTCCCTTTGGAACATGAGAGTGTCCAGTACATGGGGTCACTGAAAACCAAGTGAGAGCAAGAGCGGAATTATTACCAAAAATACCCTATCATTGAAAACCTTTTCAGACAAGAAGTTGTCTATATCAAGATGACTGTTTTTGGCACCATGAACTGGGAGTGTTATTTACCATTTCACAAGTGTCTATAGGGATCAGTTACTCCATGGGCCCACTCTTCACTGGTATAAAGGGCTCACTGCTCCTGTCTGCTGGTCTCTTTGTGTGGCTCAGGACATGGCTAGCAGGATGCTTCTCCAGAAGACAGTTACTCAATGCATAGCATGGAAGTGTTCATGGATCATCCCGCCAACCAGCCCCAGGACCCACCATGCTGGTCACAAAGCCTCACACCGGTGGCCCTCCCCGCATCTCCACAGGCTGCATGAGCAGGCCTATGTGATCACAGACCTTGGTGCTCATTCTGTGCTGCAAACAGCTACCCGATGTGTCCCTAACATCAGCCTTAAACATAGCTGTGGACTCTGAGCTCAGGGCAGGAGGAAGTCTGCACACTTATACCACAGCCAAGGAGCTCAAAGATCAGTGTTCATCAGAATCACCTGGTCCTGTGAAAATACACTCTCCACCTTACCTCCAGGAGGATTAAGGGTCTAAAAATAAGTGCATGAGGTGATGGATAGAAGAAAGACATCAGGGAATTCAGAATTCTGGGTATGGAGGAGCAACTCTAAGAGGAGATTGTAGTTGGAAACTATTAGGGCCACCTAATGGGCCACCTGTCATGGAGACTGGCAAGGCCCAGGATGTCTGGTATGTGGAGACAATCACAGGCCAAGTGTCCACATGCTACTAGATGGAGGGAGCTGCCTGGAGACCAGGGGGTGGCTGTATGAGGAAGAAGTGCTGGGCCCCGGGTGGGCAGCCCATTGATACTGCCTGGAAATGGCCAAGGAGTCATTGTGAACTTCAGTTTATGTTGAACTTGAAGTTACTGTTTATGTAAAAAGGAAAAAGAGGCTCTTTCATAACTAAAATGCAATGGTATAAAGGAAGTAAGGAACAGAATCTAGGTTTCTTTCTATACTTCATCTGGTTTAGTCACGCAGCTTGAGAAAAGCACAGAGAGCTAGAACTTTAGACAACTATAAACATTAAAAATAGATGTGAACATAGTTGGAGCTAAAAGCAACCAGACTCAAATATGGTTTTCAAGAAGACATTTTGGCAAATGCAGGATAACCAAACCAGTTGAGACTGTGGCTCACGTTCCTGTCCAGGCTCCTAGGGCCTGACTCTGCTCAGCTAAGCTAACCCAAGGCCTGGCCCCCAAAATAAAATAAAATTCAATAAATAAATAAAGTTAAAACAGTTAGCAGAAGTCTGTAGAAATGCTAGGTGATAGTATGCCAAAAAGTGAAGAGACTGGAACCATCTCTTCCCTGGGGACAGGAGGCTACAGGTTTACACTCCAGTGATAAGAGAGAGGAGTTCCACATTGTAACAATGAGACATACAAGACACTACATTGAAAACAAACTTTACAACTTAGGGGAGGAGAGGGAGGCGTTGGGGGAGGTGGAGAGGGAAGGGATGGTAGGGGAAAAACAAAGGAAGGGGCAACAATGCTCCATAGGAAATGTACTTATTAACTGTAACCCCTCTGTACAGTATCTTTACAATTAAAAAATGTTTTTAAATGATACTGATGAAAAAAAAGAAGGAAGACTTTTAGACGGAGTAAGTTGCAGGAGAGGAATCTGTGACTTCTGCCCTGGGGTTGCGTTTATTGCTTAGACTATCACTTCTGAATCCAGGGTTCTTGTTTTGGAGTCTCTTCCCTCCTGACCTCTAGGGTCCTGGCATGTTCTCCTTGGCATACTTCATCACCATCAGGATTCCAAATCCCCACATTTCCCACCAGCTATCTATGTCACAGTGCAAGTTATATTTCAAACATATCTGTGGTTATGTTCTCAGGTGAGTTGTGATCACACAAAATTTCATATGCTAAAGTATTCATCTTCTTGTCTCAGAATGGGGCTTTGGGAAAGAGTCTTTAAAGAGGTAATTAAGTAGCTGAGTACCAGTGGCTCACACCTAGGGGGCTGAGGATTGTGGTTCGAAGCTAACCCAGGCAAAAAAGTCCATGAGACTCTTATCTCCAATAAACTACTCAGAAAAGCCAGAAGTGGTGCTCAAATGGTAGAGCTCTAGCCTTGAGCAAAAGAAGCTCAGGGACAGCGCCCAGGCCCAGTGTTCAAGCCTCAGGACTGTCAAAAAACAAAAAGGTAATTAAGTTTAAATGATGAGTGTGAGTCCTGAGCTAATTAACAGATATCCTTATACAAAGAGGAAATCTGGATACCCAGAGACACTGACCACTATCTCGGCCTTGTGTGAGATGCGTCCTCATGCAGGAAGACCAAGTAGGGACAAGGACAGAGGCAGCCATGGGCATGCCAAGGAGAGTGGTCCCAGGAGATCCGAACCACTAGCCACGAGAAATAAATTTCTGTTGCCTAACTCCTCCCTTCCCCCTACTCTGTGGTATATTGTTATGGAAACCCTAGCAAACTAGTAGGCCACATACATTCTTCTTTGCTTCCTTGTTTAGCTGGTTTTCTTGCCTCTTCAGTGTTGTTCGAGCAGGTCCTTGACTGTAAGTTCCCCTGGTATCAGTGCACAAGGAATTAAGTACATAACTGAGATTCTATTTTTAGGTTAAGAAAGTTCGTTCCAAATAGGTCAAAGCCAAGAAAAGGAGGCCTGGTGGAATGTGAATGGGAACCATTGTTTCCGGCACAGTGAAAGAATGAGTTCTCCCCTGGTTTCAAAGAAATCCCTGGCAGAACAAGAGATGCCATCTGCTGAGGCAGAGACGCGGCCAGGCCTGAGGCCCAGTGCCAGTGCTGATGAGGCAGTGTTTAGGGTAAATCCCTTCCTGGGAAAGGAGAAGTGCAAATCTGAATGCTTCTTTTGTTCAACAAAATTGTCATCTGTGAAACCATTTCCAGAACAAGAATCCAAGTGGTTTTTAAAGGTAGTTACCCAGAGTACTTTAAGTCTATACATGTTTATGAATTGTTTTATTTAGTTATTCATACATTCATTTATTTACCACTTTGAGCCACAGTGCCACTTTCGGTTTTCCAGTGGTTCATTGAAATAAGGGTCTCACGGACTTTCCTGTCCTGGCTGGCTTTGAGGAACCCCAATCCTCAGACCTCAGCCTACTAGTGCCTGGCTTGTTTTATTTTTAAAGTTCTGACTGCTATCAGATATTGCTAGCATTTTCTTCTGGTGTATTATTTAAATCCTGATATGGGGCAAACATAGTGCCTTAGCAAACAATGCCGACAAAGCACCTGCAGAGAGAAGTTAAAAGCCTCACAGCACATAAACTAAGTAATGAGCTGGGACATGGCTCTCTCCAACTCCCAACCTACATTTCTGTAAATTTTCTTACTTAAAGAGATCACATGTACACACATGTGCACACACATGCATGTACAAGGTATACACACTCACAAGTTTCTCTTAAAGCATCAGAAATGAATGACCTACACAAAAATGAGAAAATTACTTGTTCTAAAACTACTATCATTTACAAAAAGTCTATCAGGAAGATCATAAGAACAAAACAGTCACTTAAAATACAAAATATGAGATTCAAGCACAAGACATACACATCTGTCAGTAAGGTGTTTACATGTCTCATGTCGTGTGTGTGTGCCGGAGTAAACACCTCTGAGATAAACACCCTTTCCCACTTTGCACAGATCCTAAGTCTGCACAGTCTCCCCTTCACCAGTTCCACCTTTCCAAGTTTCAGTTCAGCATTGTCAACTGTAGCCCAGAAATACTCAATTGGAAATCTCTGAAATAAGCATTTCAGAAGTTTAAAATGGCCCACAATTCTGCAAGGCATGATGGAGGATCAGGGCATTCCACCTCCCCAGCTCAGGACGGTGTCTTTGTCCAAGGATCCACGGTGTATACACTACGCTCTCATTAGTCACCTCACAACCTTCAGGGTCATCACATGGACTGCTGCAGTCTCACGGTGTGCTTGTCCAAGTAACGCTTGCCACCATGCACGCATCACCTTACTTCACCTAAACATGTTGGCTTTGTAGCCTCTCACACCATCACAAGAAGGGCAAATACCGTAACGTAGGCTATTTTAAATGAGAGGAAGAGAGATAAGAGAGAGATCACAATTACATGGATGTTACTGTTTTGTTACTATCTATTGCTGTTAATCTTGTGTCTAATTTGTAAGTGAAAATTTGTCACATAAATGTAGGTATGCATAGGGAAAAGATGGTATATAGAGAATTCAGTATTATCTGCAGTTTCCAGTAAGCCCTGCAAGTCTTAGAGCATACCCTACAGATAAGGGAGCATTACTACACTTGGCTGTGTTTTCTTGGTTTGATCGTTGGCCTCCTCTTCCCTCTCTTCCATCCATCCTTTCCTATCCACTCATTCTCTGCACTTCAAATGGCTCCTAAATCATGTTTACCTCTTAATCTCATCTTCCAACTTCCATTCCTTCATCTCCAATCACCTACAGTGACCCCCACATCCAACATAACGGACAGCCCAGGTTCTTCTATGGATTGCTTTGTTCTTCCAGTCCTTTGTCACATAGAGCCAGAGCCAAACGGATTTTGGAAACCTATTACAGTTGTTCATGTCAACATACTCACCTTCCTCTCAACAGTAACACCTGGTAGATGTTTTCAACCACATGGTATGTTGAAATAAACCATAGCTCCCTGCCATATTGCTTTAGGGACATTGTCCAACCACATTCTGAAAAAAGCGCATTCACTAGGTATTGGGGTTTTTTTTACCATCAATTAAAAATGTCCAAGAAACTAGAATAATATGACCAGACACATCACACAATACAACATACACATATACAAATATGGAGCTGAGATGGAAAGTAGGTTATCTAACATCATAAATCATCCTAAGGTGATCAGAAAAGAGAATGAGACTGAGGCAACATTAAGTAGCCACTGCCACCCACAGTTTGGAGAATCGCAGGCATTTCTGCCACTCACAGGAAAGCCTAATGGGGCCAGTACGACCACCCCAGTCACCATATTTGCCTATCAACAAGATGACAGTGTCCCCAGATGAGCACACAGATGCTCTTCCTCCTGCAACCACCCTGCCAGGGCATGAAAGAACAACAAACAACAAGCAACACTGGCTGCAGTCTGGGCTGTGGGGCGCAGAGGCGATGGACTGAGATTGGACGGCACGTGTGTTAGTTAGCGATGGGAATGAGGTGAAGGTTTGTGAGCACATGTGTATGACAGAAGCACAACCCTCTTGTGAGCCGTTGCTTCAGTGAAGACACGAACCAACGAGCGAGTAGTACCTGTGCCGGTCTCATTAAACGGTCCTGGACCCTTAATGGGAAAATCATCAATCTTGATCCATTCACCTCCTAAATTAGGGAAATGCAACTGCATAGTTAGAGACACAGTCTACTGGATTTTCCATATTTCGCTACATCCGTAATGAGTAGTTCAAGGTTCTTTTCGACAGTCTTCACAAGGACTTCTCTGGCCACAACAGTGACTCCATACCTAAACTGTAAGGACAATATATATGTGGAGTCTTCTGCTCATGGTTTATTTTTTTATCTGCATGTTTGGAAAAATATGGACTAAATTCTAATAAAACTACTGGGTTTTGTTGTTGTTACTTTGTTTTGTCTTTTAAAAGGGGTAAGTCTCTTCTAGTTTTCCATATTTTACTTGCTATAGGAATCTAAAAGGATTCAGAAATCTATTAGGATTCAGAAATCCTAACAATTCTAAATTTATAGTAATGACAGGAAAAAGCAAGATGGGGCGGGGGGGGGGGGGCGGAGAGAGAGAGGTCTCTCCTAACCTGAGTAGTCTGAAATTCTAGGTCAGACTTACCGGGTGGGCTTTCAGCTCTGTAAACAGGACGGCTCACTCCACTGTGGTTTTCTGCAGTAACCAGCACAAAGTACACTACCCCCGGCTCTGAAACACATGGTTTATGTCAAGCCACCATCAAAAATCTCCAAGAATGACACACTTTGAGTCACTAACTACCTCCCCAAGGTCAATTATAACCAAATATAAAAACCTAAATTAGGTGACAAGTCTAATGGCCTTCTGTGTGACTTTTATTAAAACCCTTTGCCATCTTCTCGTGCATCTGAAACACACCCAATCCAAAGAATCCTATCGTTAGCACAAGTACAGACCTTATGAAATAAATCTGGATTCTTATGCAGTCAATAAAAGGGGCTTTTAAAGTTTTTAATGTAAGATCAGTATAGGAATTAGGAAGTCACAGTCTACTAATTGGTATCTGGACTAACAGTGTCAGAAACTACAAATATTTCCACATGGATGTTCCAAATGGAAATCTCCAGGGGCGGGAGGAAATAAAGGCAATTTAAAATATAACATATGGGAAATTCTTGGTTATACTACATAAAGCTTCACCAAAAAAAATTATTCACAGTGAAGTGTTTCCTAAGCTTTGTCTATATGTTGGTCTGGGCCATTTTAACACAAAGCTAGACCTGAAGTGTTGGAACTGCTAACCTGGAAATAACGAGGCTTTTGCTTCATAACTTTTGATCTGAGGCTGGGCTACACCATCAACCCAGAGACCATGCTACCAAGAGAAGGCACCTGAATTTACAGATTTCCAGAAAAATACAGATATCCAGACAAAAACTAGCTTTCCTCAAAACATGAGTTCTTATCTTGTGACCAGTAAGTTCAGGTGCCAATTCATGGAGAATGGAAGTCTGTGGGCACTGCAGGGGAGAAAGGGCTGGAGAGGGGAGAGTCTATTCTACTGAAGGCGCTCCTGACTGTGACATTTCTCAAAGTGAGGAGCATTTCATTAACAGAAACTCATTCAGTTCTCAAGCCAGCATTGTGCTCAGGACCAGCGACTGAGCTGCCACCCTCTGGATACCTGCTGTCCTGAAGACTGGTGTGACCTCTCTCTCTGAATATAGCAAAGGCCTCGTGGTATTTGGGGTCTGGCACAACCTGCTCCACTCACGGGAAAATGATCCAGGTTCTGACAGAATGCAAAAGCTCACCTCCCCAGGCACTGGCGTTACTCTGAGCTTACTTGTATTGCCAAGAAATGTGGTGCACATGTCTCTGAGGCCCTGAGTTAACACAACAGAAAGTCGCCTGGGAGCTACTATTCAGTTTGTTGTGAATGTGTGACTCTTTCATGTGTTTTTCTTCTCTGGAGCAATCATAAAAACCCATAGTTAGAGCAAATATGACTTGCGCAGGCCTTTGGTCTGCTAGGATCTCTCATTAATTTCACAGCTGGACTTTTGGGGACCATAGTGTTGTGCTCTTGTACTCAGAAAACATAATGTAGGGCTGGGAAGGTAGCTCAGTGGTAGAGCGCTCGCCTTGCATGCCAGAGGCCCTGGGTTCAATTCCTCAGCACCACATAAGAAAAAAGAAAAAAGCCAGAAGTGGTGCTTTGGCTCAAGTGGTAGAGCGCTAGCCTTGAGTTGAAGAGCTGAGGGACAGCACCAGGCCCAGAGTTCAGGCCCCATGACCGGGCCCAAAAAAAAAAAAAAAGAAAACACAATGTATCACTACAGAACATGAGGAGAGTAACTAGGTAGAGGTCCCATGCTGGGAGCTACAAGTTTATTATGATCTGTTCCAGGATCAGAAGGCAAACTCGACCTAGCAGACACTGGGTTTTCTCTATGCTAGCTAGATTACTTTTGGTTACATTTCATCAATGTCAAGGCTAGATCCTGATGGTCAAACGAATGGAGTGTCTGACCACTGGAATCTTCCAAAGAAGATACAGAGGAGGCAGCTTTACAACAAAGCCTACCACCACTTACATCTGTCCTTATCAGACAATATACATTGAGGCAGAATTTAAGATGTTTCCAACCTCCAGAATCAAATTAAGCTAAAATTGAAATGAGTGAAAATGTGGCATGTCATAGCTAAATATGACCTTCTATATACATTTTTTTGTGTGCCAGCCATGGGGCTTAAACTTGGGGACTGGGCACTGTTCCTGAGCCTGTGTTTAAGGCTAATGCTCTACCACTTGAGCCACAGCTCCACTTCTGGCCTGTGTGTGTGCGCGTGTGCATGCGTGCATGCGTGCGTGTGTATGTGTGTGTGTGTGTGTGTGTGTGTGTGTGTACGCGAGCTTAATTGAAGAGTCTCATGGGCATTCCTGCTCAGGCTGGTTTCAAATCACAATTCTCAGAGTTCAGTCTCTTGAGTAGCTGGGATTACAGGCATGAGCCACCAATGCCCAGCCTCTACAGCTACTTTTATGAAGCATATTAAAGTTGGACCTTGAGTAACTAGGGTGTTAGGAGCTCATGCAATAAAAAAAAAAAACCTGGCGCTGGGAAGGTGGCTCAGTGGTAGAGTGCTTGCCTTGCATGCCTGAGGCCCTGGGTTCGATTCCTTAGCACCACATAAGCAAAAAGAAAAAAAGCTAGAAGTGGCACTGTGGCTCAAGTGGTAGAGCGCTAGCCTTGAGCTGAAGAGCTGAGGGACAGCGCCCAGGCCCAGAGTTCAGGCCCCATGACCAGACCCCAAAAAAAAAAATCTAATTTAATTGTGCCTTTTAAGTACTAAGAGCCTGCCATTAACCAGAAGCTTACAGACACATAAGCAATCAAATAACACATAGTTGTGTGCTATGCACATGTACAGGGTAAAAGAAAAGCGAGAACTAGGACAGGTCACTCTGTTTGTGTGTGTGTGTGTGTGTGTGCAAGGGGGGGGGTGAGGTGTGGGGAAATGGTACTGCTGGGGCTTGAACTCAGGGCCTGAGCACTGTCCTTTAGCTTTTTCACTGAAGTTCTGATGCTTTACCACTTCTGGTTTTTTACTGGTTAGTTGGAGATATAAGTCTCTCAGATTTGTCTTCTGGGGCTGGCTTTGAACCAGGCACCCCAGATTTTAGCCTCCTGAGTAGCTGGGATTACAGGCCTGAGCCTAGTTGAGAGATCTTTTCCTGGGACATCGTGTACCCTAGGCAGATGCACTGTAGAGACAAGCACCTACAGCAGCACTGAATGTGGGTGTTCACGACACTGGAGGTCTCGCACCACATGGCAGGCAGCAGGTGGCTACAGCATTACCCAGTGCAGTGGCTCTGTGGTGAGTTTCCCACAGTCAGGGTTGAAGGCTGAATTCCTAATTTTAGGTTTATGTTTTGCTCTACTGAAAAGGGTGTCATGTATGGTTTACAGAATTTGCATATATAAGTTTGACAAAATTTAACTTTCTCTAATAGATCTGTGTATATTATTTCGGTGTGGAGAGAAGAATGTTTGAGTTTGACTGCATGGAGGGGAAGGTGGGACAAATGCGTGGAGGGACAATATGACACCAGTTTGACAGCAGCCTCAGGGCTAGAGCCTCAGATCTTGACTTCTCATTTCCAAAGAGCACCAGGTGCCCTGCGCTGGCCTCCCAAGTGGGAACTGGGCTGGGGACAGGGGCGTGGCGTCACTTACCCACATCCTCAATAAGGAAGGAGCATGTCTCCGCATTCACCTTGATGTACTTAAGACTTTTCAGTGACTCCCCATAGGCAATGTTGTAATGCTCCACGGGTCTACCGGTGGCATCTTTGGGTGGGTCCCACGTGACTTTCAGACCCATTTTAGTGGACAGCAGTCTCACGTGTCTTGGCTTCAGTGGGTGGTCAACTATGCAAACAGTGCAACTATCAACTTACGGTAATGGCAGGGGTGGGGGAGAAGTTTTTGAATGTTCTCGGATATGGTTAGCACAAAAATCAAAAGCCAAATGACATTTAATCTGTCTGCTCCAGAAGACTTTAAGTGTAGTCATGTTTGCACATTGGTACAGTATGAGAACAAAACAAACAGATGAAACCCACAAAGTTTTGTGTATTTTGGATAACTGCGGGTGGCAAATTTAAACCAAACAAGAAACAAATCAAAACAAACTCTCTCCTTCTCTGCCTCGGTTACTCTGATATGCCAGTGCTGAGAGATTCACATAGTCCCAGGGCCATTTGTATATTCAGTGAGTACTGAGCTTTTGCATGGTAAGTGGAATACTGAGCATTTTGCATGGTAAGCTGGACAGTCTGCACACCTTGGAAAATAACAGCATACATATCAGGATAAGTAGAACAGCCTTTGCATCCACATGACTGAGATAAGCAGACCTGCTCATTTCCAAAAAGAAAGTAAGCCAGGAACACAACCATTGTAAATGTTGGGGAAGTGAACCGCATATTGATTGAAATGTTTCTATATTTTATACCAGAAGAAAAAAAGTAAAGAAACAATCATTATATCTTCAGTTGTATAGTCGTCTGTTATAAGGTTCTAAAAAAATTCTTAATTTGTAAAATTACCAAGGTGATACATAATATTGTTTCAGACAAAACATGTCGACCGACTATGTAATGGATATGGTCATGTGGAAACACCAGAGACAGATGCGAAGTATTCATGCAACAATTAGACACTTTCAGAAGATTTGCTCTGAAAACAAATACTCAATGATGTGAAGCCAGTTAGAAAAGAGAAAAAAAGTAGCCTAAAAGAGAAAGAAAGAGAAACCTTCCATTTAATATCATTTAAGAAAAATACATGTGGAGGGGCTGGGAAGGTGGCTCAGTGGTAGAGTGCTTGCCTTGCATGCATGAGGCCCTGGGTTCCATTCCTCAACACCACATAAGCAGGAAAAAAAAAGCCAGAAGTGGCGCTGTGGCTCAAGTGGTAGAGTGCTAGCCTTGAGCTGAAGAGCTGAGAGAGACAATGCCCAGGCCCACAGTTCAGACTCTATGATCAACAAAAAAAGAAAAGAAAAAGACATATGGAATGTGTTTCCCATGGAAGAGGAGGAGGAGCCACTTCACAATCCGGTGATCAGCATGTGACCTTAATACTGCATAAAAATTCTGAATGGAATGCACACAAATGAGTCTAACAGATTCTACTCAGTCCCTCCTGCACTCCCTGCACCTCTGGGGCATCAGACAACTTGCGAGGGAACTCATTGAACAAATTCATGGCATGAATGAAGAAGATAAACTTGATAATTTTCAAAGCATGAAAATATGAATGTCCTTTTTGGCGACAAAAAGCATGGTGTTAGACTATGTGCACAGATTGAAGTCCACAAAGCATTCCCTCCCAACTTGAACATAAGGTTCTGTGAACCAGGTGACGGAGAAACTACAGGTAAGTGGCCTGATGTAGTAGGCCATGCACAAAGACACCAGTCACTTCCTGGGCGTTTAAAGTGAGCAAGAGACCACTTGTTGGTAGCTGTCTTCCTCACCTATGAAACTTCAGCAGGGATCTTCCCCAGAAATCCAAATCTCACAATGACCAAAAGATGCATAGAAGCAAAACAAGATATTCAGAAACTGAAAAGGGAAGTTCATGGTGGCTGTTTTTCCCAAGGAAGAAAATAAATGAGTGAAGATGTAAATGATGTTGTTCCTTCCAGTTAAATTCCAAAACTCTCTTACAAAAACCTCATTCCTGAACAGAAGTCCTAGTGTGTGAACCTATGGAATCAAAACACTGAACAGGTAGTAGTGATTCCATTACTTTTATTTTACTAACATCTGGAAAGAAGTGAAATCTATTAATACACTTTTTCTTCTCCCCTGCTATGTCTTTGTGCTAATTTTCTGTCACTATAGCAAAATACCTGTGAGAGCCGACTTATAAAGAAGAAAGGTTTATTTTGGTTCAGAGTTTTCAAGGTTTCAGTCCATCATCGATTGTCCCTATTGCTCTTGGATCTTTTGATAGGCAGCTCTTCATAATGGACACACACACCATCTTATGGTGGCCAGGAAGAAAAGAAGAGGAAGGACAATACTGGAGTCTCACCATCCCCATCCTTGGACACGCCCCCGGTGAACTAAAGCCGCCCCTTAGACCTCACCTCCTCAGGATTCCACCATCTCCCAATAGTTCCATAGGTGGGGACTACATCTTCAATATATGAGTCTATGGGAACTTATCCAAACCCAAGCAGCCTTGAGTTTATCCTTGGACACAGCAGACCCCCAGCTCACAGGAGAATCTGCTGGAAATGCACACGGTAGCTCAGTATATGGGAACCACTCTAAGCCCATCAAGGAGCTCTGACAGGACAACACAGTAAGGAGGGACAGGGAAAACCACTATGATTCCCCCCAAATCTACTGTGCATTCTTCCATCTGTTTACCCACTCAGTGCTTCTAAGTGTGTCCATGCATGGAGCCTGTGATCCAAAACCACCACAGCCTCCATTTTAACAAAAAGAGCACGTAGTGTAAATCTGTTACAAAACGTATCAAAAGAGGAGAGGGGACCAGACCAGAAAGGGTCTTAGTGGGCGACACTCAGTTTCAGGAACTTAAACATTACAGGAGGTGCTTGTAATACACTAGGAAGAGTTGTTACTCCATGGAGATTTCAGATAAGAAGAAGGCCTGGGACAGATAGGTTAGGTGAGCCACCCAGAGCCACACAAACCCACCAGGGATGGAGCCAAGTACAAGCGTGACTTTGCCTGAAATGAAATCTGTCCCTAGTCATAAGTGACCGAGGGTCAGATCTACTACAAGTGAACTAGCTTAGTTACTCTCTTAAAGTGAGATACAGCCAGGTTTTAGTGACGATTTCAGGCCCCTCCCCCCCTTCACCCTACCTCCCAACACACACACACGGACCAGATCAGTGAAACAGCCCCTTGTCTTCATTAGGAGGTGCTTGTATTTCCTGGATTCCCATCAACTCTGCTATTAAAAACGAGTGTCACTTTCAGAGCTTTCTAATAAACACTGCCTATGGCTGACTCAGAGAACAGGCCAAGACGAAGAACAGGGAGGCTGAACAGGGTGATCTGTCAGACATTCCAGCCCCTTCCTCACCTGCCAACGCCCCATCATCAAACCAGCATGACTGAGACCAGCGCGTCCAGTGGTCCAGATGAGTGTGGCTTAAGCTACAGGATAGAAAATGCATTCCCAGGGTAGAAGCAGGAACATTTATTGGTGACTGTGACCCATGAGAATAAAATCAAGAAATAGGAGCATGAGGGTGGCTTCGGGTCTCAGACTGCCCCCTACAGCCCAGGTCAGGAACCAGCGCCCTGGCAGCATAAAGCTTGCAGTGTGGCACCATGACATGAATTTATTTTTAAGTATTCTTGGGGACTTAGCACGGACCCTTCTTTATGCCAGACAACACACAAGCTGCCGGGAGAGCTATTGGAGATGACCTTTCAAGCTACACTGCCAGGAAGCCAGCTCCTAGGAAGAACGGTCACGGCCAAACATCAGTGCCATAGGAAGCATAAAGCCTGACGTGGGGACCACTGGGGTGGGGGTGGGGGGGACACGGCGTCCACGTGACAGGATGGCAGGTATGGCCACGGCAGCTGCCTTCTCATCGCCACGGCTTGCAGCATGAGGAAATGAGCTGCAGCTGCAGCAGAAGGGACTGAATTTATAAGAATTTCCTGTCTGTTCCTTCTCCATCTCCCCCATGCAAGGCTATCTTTGAATGGAGACAGATGGTGAGGTGCTCCAGACACAAGCACCAGCCAGCAGGATTCTGCTGGGGCTCAAGGGATTTCAAAGTCATTTGCCATAGTTTGGACAATTACAAACAATATTCTGCCAGGTACCAAAATGGCAACAACATATTTGGGCGATCTTTCAGATGCCCAGCCTAGATTCTGCTGTGTCACACATACTCCCATGGGAGATCGATTACAGGTTTGCTTGGGATTGGAAAATAAGGACAGAGCCTGTGTCCAGACTGCTTACTTTGATCCAACAGCAGATTCCAGGTTCTACCCAGGAGAGCCTTCAGAGGCCAGTGTGGCTTAAGATCAGAGTATGGATCTGCTTAAGGATAGACTCTACATTCTAACACTTGTAATATGTGCCCTCCATCTTCCAGTGATGGAGCTCACGAAGGTCTCCAGGGCTGATGGAGGTCCTTAGAGCCTGACTGGAGAGCTGAGTCCTCGGGACCAGCCTGAGCAGCGTGTACAAGGACCAGCCTGAGCAACGTGTACAAGGACCAGCCTGAGCAGCGTGTACAAGGCCCATTCTTCAGTGGATGGGACACCTCACTTGCCGCTTCCTTACCTTTTGACTCTGATATCTTGACATCACCCATCACAACTCAAGACTTAAATAACTTGAAAGAAAGGATGCCAGGCAAGGAGAAGAGCTAGAGGTCTCTAACTCAATCAGTTACCCAGGCCACAAGGATGGAGCAAATAAGGGCCTGCCATGGAAAGGAGAGACATATGCGGAGACACAATTTGGTTCACGGATCCATGGAGCAAGGGAATTCAGGCCCCAGATTGACAGCTGTCCTATGTTTTTGTTTGCTTTTGTTTATTCCCCAAGATGGCAGAAATCCTAATGTAGAGGTGAAATCTCCCAATTTTATGTTCATTAGCAATTAATTCCACTTTTACAAAACACTATGTAAAGAAACATCCCCACATGCAATCAACTTGCTGGACCCTTCTACCTTGACTTGGGAGAGATCCTCCACTGCTGGTCCAGACAAGGCGTCCCCACACTCATTTCAACCCAGAGACCCCTCTGTGAATCTGGCTCCGAAGAGCATGGGTGCATGAAAGTAAACATGAAAGGCTGAGAGGGGGAGGGAAA